ATATATATATATATATATATATATATCTATATATATATATATATATATATATATATATATATATATATATATATATATATATATATATATATATATATATATATATATATATATATATATATATATATATATATATATATATATATATATATATATATATATATATATATATATATATATATATATATATATATATATATATATATATATATATATATATATATATATATATATATATATATATATATATATATATATATATATATATATATATATATATATATATATATATATATATATATATATATATATATATATATATATATATATATATATATCTACAGTTGAAGTCAGAATTATTAGCCCCCCTTTGAATTTTTTTCTTCTTTTTTAAAAATATTTCCCAAATGATGTTTAACAGAGCAAGGGAATTTTGACAGTATGTCTGATAATATTTTTTTCTTCTGGAGAAGTTCTTATTTGTTTTATTTCGGCTAGAATAAAAGCAGTTTTTAATTTTTTAAACACCATTTTAGGGACAAAATTATTACCCCCTTCAAGCTATATATTTTCTCGATAGTCTACAGAGCAAACCATCGTTATACAATAACTTGCCTAAACGTGAGCTGGCAGTAGTTGTTCGCTGGTGTTTTGTTTGTTCTGAATGCTACCTTAATATACAAGTAGCTCAAACTCGCTCATTCAGAGGCGGGAACCGGCGGACGTGCAACAACTTTAATCAAAAAGTCAACACAAAACATCTGGAGCTCCTACACAGGACTCGACACTTTAAACACTCGCTCCATCAGGTAAACGGCTCTCAGCACCGCCCACATTGGTCACCACTACCAAGTCGTCCAATCACAGAGCTTGCGCGTCGTTTTTGAGAGGTGTGCGTCAGCCACAGTGGAGGGCTATGCAACCGAATGAAGGCTGCGCCGACCATGCGTGTGCGCTTGACACACAAGTATAAATCAGCCTTAAGAAAGACAGATTATGTCAAATGATAAAAGCAGGCTCTCTCAGGAAAGAAACTAGCTGGTGGATTTGAGAAATAAATCAAAAGCACAAGCTAAAGAGTGTGGTTAAACTCCATTTATTACAAAACTCCTCTTACAAAAGGTGATTGGTGATCAGTAATGATGCGCAGCGGCTGTGGGACGGCTGTGTTTACTCGTCCTCGTCCTCTTCGCTGTCTCCACTGTCGCTGTCTCGGCCCGGATGCTCAGGCATCTTCACATGCTCCTGCTCCTGCTCCTCCGTGACGATCATCGGCTCCTCCTCTGTCGCTGTGGAGATCTTCTGCTGCTCCTCTGTTGTTGTTGTGATCATCGGCTCCTCCTCTGTAGCCTTGGTGTTCTTCTGCTCCTCTTCAGCTGCTGTGGTGATCATCTTCTCCTCTGTCCCAGTGGTGCTCTTCTCCTCCTTTGCTGCTGTGGTGTTCTTCTCCTCCTCTGTTGTCGCTGTGGTGTTCTTCTCCTCTGTTGTCGCTGTGGTGTTCTTCTTCTCCTCTGTTGTCGCTGTGGTGTTCTTCTCCTCCTCTGTTGTCGCTGTGGTGTTCTTCTCCTCCTCTGTTGTCGCTGTGGTGTTCTTCTCCTCCTGCTCCATCACCGCTGTCTTCCCCTGTGGTTTGAGCACCTGACGAGGAGGATCCAGGAGCCGCTGCTGCTGCTGCTTAAACACAGACAGTCAGATCAGTCAAACATCATCAGTTTCTATTTTTGCCTTATAGCCTCACATTTATTGCTTTAACCCCTCTGTCATGTTGGGGATGTGTTCATCCACTCTGGGGTGATGCTGAGTCTAATTTTGGCCACAACTT